CATCAAAGGGATTTACATGCACACAGTGCACTGTATCTGATTTATTGCACTGGCGGTCCCTTTGAAGTATAGCTTGAGTGGGAAATAAGCTATGTATTAGTGTTTTATTTTTAAAAAGTTTACACTTGAAATTAATGTATTATGCTCAAAATAAAATAATTGTGGAGGTGGTGGGTATCTTTGGAAAGATAGACACAAATGTAATAACAAAAACTTGTTAAAGGAGAGACAAAGAAAAAGAGATAGAAAGGAGGAGGCTTAAAGTGATGAACAAGAGATGAAAACATGCACAATTGATTGTTGTATCTATCATTGGGTCATAGAGAGCCCACATGTCACTGTAAATATACATGTTCCTAGCAGGTAGTGTTACTGCCACAATAACATGTCCAACCACATGATTTCCCACACAGCATGCTAAGTGAGCAAGCTTTATTAGTTGACTAGAGTACATGGAATTTTGAACAATTTCAAACATTACAGGGGCTACTTTTTTCCTTACTTTACTTAAGTACAGAATAAGTTTACTTTCCATACTTTTATTTTAATTCCATAGATACATTTATGATTGGTTGGTAGATGCTACATCTGTGTTTTATTGTATCATAATCATTATAATCCTAATACATAGAAGCAGAGCTAAGGAATATTTTCACCACACCACAAATAAATACCTAGTGTGTTGGGGTTCCGCAGGGGACAGCTGAAGAACCCATGTCTCCAAAATCAATGGATCTCTTCTGCCAATATGGCGCAATTACAATAGAAGAGACAACACTCATGAGGACAATAAATGTGGCTGTTATTGTATTTTATTTGTATTTGGTTCCATTAATGTAATTCAATTGATAGGTTGACTCCAGGCTAAGAGTAACGAACAATTATTATTATTATTAATATTGCAACCATTATTTTAAAAAATTAATTAAAAAATGCTCACAATAAAAAATAAATATGGAAGTGGTGGGGTATATTTCAGCTGCTGCACAGAAAAAGGAATCCATTGAATGTGCACAAGATAGTTTTCCTTAAAAGAATGAATTGACTCAACAATGATACATGATTAAAGTAACCTGTTTTAGTAAGTGATACATGATTATATAAAGTGTTAAAGTGCAAGTTCTTGGTAAGTGATTGAATTATTACCTCGGGAAGGCTCTCTTCCTTGTTCTTGTACCTTGACCACCTTCATAAAGTAGTCCCTGTAATATTAAGAAGGCATAAAATATACATCAAACAATTTGAAGACTTACTAGTTCCCTTTTCAATGCAATAATTTCTGCAGTTTTGGCTCTTTTTTGGTCCCCAAAAATCCTTATATGTGCATTAATGTGAGAAACATCCGTCTCCAGAGTTACGATTCATCAACAACAAGAATAAAGTTAAAGCACACAAATATAAACAATAAGAACTTATACCTTCTCAACTTTTCTTGCTTGTTCCATTGAGTAAGTAGCCTATGACAAAGTGTCAAAGATCCTTTTTAAATTTTATTTTTCACTTATTCTCTACAACAAAACTCAGAAAAGACAACTAAATGTAAATGAACTCAAACCTAGCCTTAAAACCTTCTTTTATTGCATCATAGTTAAGTCATTATTACATTATCAGTCCTATTTTTAGAGAATTGCATGAAGTCATGCATTTATAAAAATAGAAATGATGATGCAATAATAACATAAGGTACCATGACTAAGCACTCAATTACATAATCCATCATATCCCTTTGTCATCATACCTTATGTCATTATTACATCATCAGTTCTATTTTTAAAATTATGCTAGTCATGGTACCTTATGTCAAAATTACATGTACATTTACTTTTACAATACTTTTATACAGAGCAAATGATTCAGCACTTACATGTGTGATGTCATGTGGTTAAGATGATCACTATAAAAGGACCAGCACACTTCACTATACAGTAACTATGGCAAAGAAAAAACTGGAGGACGACAACAGTCAGCAGTCTGCAGCAGCAGAATATTCAGAAATCACTTGTATAATCCAAAGCCTTTCACCTATGAAAAAATGAAAGAAAGGCAATGACTGTTATACTGGTTGGCAGTAATGGAAACAAGTATACGTATTATTGGCTTTGACAGCCAGACAAACGAACAATTATTATCTTATAAGGCCAAGGGAGAAACAGTGGTAATTAAAAACTGCACAATAAAGATGACACCATCAGACGAGATTGAGCTGTTCATCAACAGGACCAGTAAAATCGAGTATTCTCCAAAGAAGATAGATGTGAAGCCAATAGTAATCCCAGACAAAACAATATATGAAATCTTAGCTCTAGTGGACGGTGTTGTAGTCAATTCAAAAGCCAAGGTCCTGTCTGCAGAGCTCCCTCGGCCGGTAAGTAGAGGCCTAGTGCAAGATGTTGTTCTCACTGATGGCCAGAACTCCATAGATTTATCTGTATGGGAAGAGAATACAAATAAGTTAGAGCCCTTGAAGTGTTACAGTTTTGACAGTCATCATACAAGGAGATACAGAGGAACTAGGATGCTGACACTCTCTCGACAGAGTACTTTTACTCTCACTGATAATGTCATTGAAGTGGAACCTAATGATGAAATGATTGATTCTGTCATTGATGCTAAGATTGTTGGGGTACAGAATTTCTGTATCCACGTAAATTGCATCAACTGTAAAAACAACTTGCTATTATCTGACAACTTCTCTCACTATGTTTGATGCTCCAGCTGCAAGGTTTTGCAGCCATTTAATGAAAGAGAGTGTGACGTCAGCGCCAATCTAATCATTGTTGGCAGAGATGAAGCTGTAAGAAATCTTAAGGCATGCAAGGAGATTATACTTACAATATTGGAGATTGAAGATGGTGCATTATGTGAAGACATGGTGTATAAACTTCTTAAAACGCCCAAGATGGACATCACGTATTCTGAAAGGAGCAATTACATTAGAGATATTACATTCAAAAATTAGAGTGCATGACAAACATTAATAATAATCACATTCATTTACTCTGACCTTGTATGTATTCATTTATGTATATCTTCATTTATCATTATGTATAATATGAACTAAAAAATGAGAGTACAGTTGAATCGAAACAAGTTCCTAAAGCTCAGCAGAGAGGACAATGAGAAGGGGCTAAGGCTAAAATTAATATAATACACATATTTCATAAGAAGTGCATGCACTGACATTTTGGAAATGCTTTTTTAGACCACCATTTTTGAGGTGTTTATAGAGCTGGAGAAGGGTTAATTAAAGTTGCTCAGTAGTCAGTAGCTCTACAGCAAATGGAATGCCAAATTGCAGAAAGTGAGGCACGTGAGAGTGGGAGTGCTCCATGTCCAGGGTCGCTTCATCCTCCAAAAGCAAATAAGGGAATTCATCTCTTTATAGCCCAGGTATTATAAAGATATGTATTTATCCTCCTCCTCCGCCTCCTTCTCCTTTCTTGTCTAGTTGTTTGTCACACTACGGTAAAAATTAAAAAAAGAAACACAAAATGAGCCTGTTGTCCATGCATTTACCTCAAGTTTTTTTTAACATATTTTCAATTAGTGCAGTCAGGCTTAAATATTTGTGGTTCGTCAAATATTTTATGATGAATATTACTGTTGTAGTAGCTGCTTCTTTGTTGGAGTCTAAGACCTTCTCGCTGCGTTATTGGGACTGATTCACTAGTTTAACAAAATCTCTTCTTCCAAAACCTGCTCTGCTTTAACTTAATGAGCATGAGCAGTGTACAAATCCAATTAATTAATAACAATGAATAATTAATCATAATAACAATCCGAACATACTCCCACGTTGACTAGGCAACTTGTGAAGATAATAATAATTCATAATAATCACAACAAATATTATGCACATAATTCACACACCATGTTAAATCCCAAACAATGCACTTAATTTTGCACAAATAATAATAATAATAATAATAATAATAATAATAATAATAATAATAATACAATTAAGCTCACAATATTTAATACACAAATTAATTAAATTAAAGATACAACAACTCACAACATAATGGTACGTTAATGATAGTTATTATGTATGGACTGGGCCAGTGTCTGGTCTCAAGCTGTTACTGCAGCTGACCTTCTTGACCTCCTGGATCGGGATCATTAACTGTTGTATCCTAACTGCTGATGCAACTACGTGAGTAGCTATGAATATTGATATTATCATTAACCTCTAGTGGGTAGAATTTCTGCACTGGTCTTCTTAAGAGCTTTGATTGCCTTCCTCCTGTGTACACATGAATCACTGCTGCTCCAATCTTGCCATCCTTTCCAATAATAGTCGCTCAATCTTTGCCAAATTCAAGAATCCTCTACGTCTTTCGTCACTATGAACCATAACAATGTCACCAACTGCAATCTCTATCCAATGTCTACCACTAATTCCATAACAATGAGCTTCACGTAGCTCCAACAAGTTTCAGTTCTCCATCTATTCCAAAACTGAGTCAATGTATGATCAATATACTTCATTCTCCTTGTCAAAATAGACCTATTGACTTCAAATTCTTCATCATCATTGTCACTGTGACACAAATTGTTTGGAATACTTAAGAGACGACGTCCTATTAATAAGTGTGATGGAGTTATAGCGTCATAGAGATCTTCAGGTGACATGTAAGTGGTCTGGAATTGACTATCATTTCAGTTTCTAGTACAATAGTAAGTAATTCATCGTATGTAAGTCTGGCTTGACTAGTGACTTTCTTCAAACACCTCTTGACAGACCTGATCAGTCTTTTAAAGACCCCGCCCCACCAGGGTGCTTTCTCCACGTTGAAGACCCATCGTATCTTAGCTCCTTCCAAATACTGATCAACAACTTGGTGATTCATGTTCTCC